CTGTGCAGCAGCCTCATAAGGCATTATTAGCAACCTGCTGTAAGCAGGACCAGAAAGGGTAAAATCTTTTGTTTTTATTAATATTCTTGAGAGTTGGGCTTTAGCAAATCTGCTCTTTGGCCAGGTTGGGAGCAAAGCGAAAGCATCATCTCCTTGAAGCTGGTAAGTCACAGGGAGGTGCTTGTATTTCTATGAGGGGGTGGCCTAATTTATTGGGATAGAGCCCTTTGCTGGACTATGAGCCAAAGTAATCTCCTTCTGTTGATTACTTTTGAATCTAAGTCCTCTGCTTTGATAGCCAAATCCTTCCCTACTTGCTCATTCCCCCCTCCAGTCTCTCCTCCTACCACTTTCACACAGTGCCAGGGTAGCTTGACATGTGAAGCCAGCACGACTTCAAATCAAATATTCAGGTTAACGACAAGCTGCCCTTGAATGAAACATCTGAAGAACCTCTGATGCAAATTCCCCAATGCTTCATATGGCTCCATCAAACCTTTTCCTGCAAGAGTCTCCCCCAGTTCTGGCTTAAGAGAGAGCTACTGAACTTATCTGACAGAATCAAAAAAACACTATTTATAGGCCTATATATAAATACACATGCACACTCATATATGTATTTTTTGTATGTGTACTTATGTATGCGTTGTATATATAAAGTGCCAGCCTTAAAATCCTATTAGGTTGCAACTGAAGTCTAAAGTCATCTGAAGTTCAAATGTTTCGCATAATTTTAGTATTCAAGTTCCTGAGAAGCAGTGTTTCTGCACCCATGTACCACTGTAGAAGGTCTTCACAGCCCTAGATAATATGAATTCAGCCATCTCCAAACACTGTTGCCCTCAGACAAGGGATCATTTCTCTGGAGACCTTTCATTAACACATCCTTGCTTCTACTTTTCTCTCCTTATAGATGAGTCTTTAGTGAACCAGACTCAACAGATGAGGGCTGGCAGTCTTTTCTCCCACCCCATGTGCACTCAACAGCCCCCCGACGCACCCTGGTGTCTGGGCCATCTCCCTTAGAGGTGAGCTGTTTCAGCAGAATGAAGGCACTGCTGCCTTCCACGTGCTTCAGAAGCATGACTCTACTGAACACTGAATTGCTTTGGGCCCAAGACTATCTCGCAGTCCCAGCCGTGGGACCACAATGACCTTCCAGACCTTTGCTTTTGCTCCTTTGCAAATCAGCAGTGCTCACTGAGGCACTAGATGCCCCTACCTGTCCACCATCCCAATTAGCAACTTTAGCTTTTCTGAGAGAGGAAGAATATGGGCAAACCCCTGCCATGACCTACCTTTCTCCTTCTCCAGCCTCCCTGGTGCCTGCAGACCTTCCTCTCCTCATCACACACTGCAGCAGCCCAGGATGTCCTCGTCACAGGTCTCATGCTGCACCCTCTTGCCCATTTCTGGAAATAACTGCAGCTTTTCCCTTCAGTGCCAGAACCTCCTCCAACGCCAGCAGTGACCATCACTGCAAAAGTCACCACGACCTCTACATTCATTCAGCGGAGTCATGTCATGAAGGGACACAGTAGATTGCTTCTTGATCTCAGCTAGTAGGCCACTGATGCCCTGAGTTATGAAGTCAGATGGCATTAGTGCCAATACTTTGAGAGTATCTCATGGAAGGGCATTCCACAGGTTAATTACACCTGTAAAGCTTTTCCCTTTACAACATTAGAGCCCAGTGAATCTGGTTTGCCTCTATAAAAGATGGTTGTCATATTACATGCAAGCCATTTCTCTAGCACAGACAGGCAGGCATTTGCTGAGATTAAGCTTTATGGGGGGGGGGGGGAAGGGAGGGGGGAATAATGTCAGACATACCCCTTTGTTTTATTTTCAGCTATACCAGAAGCAAATCCAGCTCTATTTAGACTTACTTTGGGGATCGAGGGTGAGAGGGATTGAAGTATATAGTGCCCTAATCCCATTGTTTTCATATTATAATGCTCTGGAAATAAGATAGCAGAGGGATGTTAGATAGGTGCTAACTTCTGTATATTTATGATCCTGTGTTCAGCCCTGAAATGCAAATTAAAAAGAACTTCCCCACCACCACCACTTTCTCTCTTTCTGTTATCCTGCATTTTCCACAACCTGAATGATGTAAGTCATTAGATAAATGACTGCCAGCGGAATGCTATAGCTGCAATGTAAACTATGAAGACTAAATCCATAAAAAAAAATAATAATACATCCCCCAGAGAAAAGTTCAGCTTTTCACATTTAAATGTACTAGTTATCAGCTATTCCTGTTCACAGGGCATTAAAATACATGCTGTTTCCTAAGCCCTGATGCAGCTCTAACAAGACTCAAGCTTGGAGCTAAAATAGAACTTATTTTACAAAGAGGTATAATGTAAAACTGTTGTCTAAATGTATCTCCTCCTTACTCGGTCTCTGTAGGGCTTTCTCCAGAGAATCCTGTTTCTTCTTTATAGCGTCATCATTTATGTCTTTGTTTATTAGTGGAATGAACTTGTCAGTAATTATCTTCCCACCAGCCAACCCTTGTCCCAGCTCCCTACATGCTCATCTCTCCAGCTTGGGTCGGACACAATGGGGAGCGCTCCTGCCAAAGTAATTTCAACATCAGCCATTCAGCGTGCTGCAAGGCAAGGAGGTCACTCCTGGAGCCATGCCGATGGCCTCTGGATCTCAGAGGTCACTATCAGGCCCAAGGAACAGTGACCAGGGCTGCGGTGGTCGTGTCCAGTGGCTCTGCTCTGCAGAACTGGATGATGGATATAGAATGAAACTTGGCAAGCAGGTTACTGTATTGGCAGGGTGCCCTGCACACACACACACATGGACCCGACCCAGCCATGGGGCTGGAGGAGGCGTCTGATGCGATTCCCAGGATGGATGGATGCCGTGCAAATTCCTGCGGGTTTGCTGGGCTGGCCTGTAGGGCTCTGGAAACAGCTTTAACACCAAAAACCCTGAGACATGAGAGTGGCTTTTAAATGCAAGGACTCACCTGATTTCACTACTCTAATCCACCGCTTTAACCCATATACTTCTTGGACACATCCAGTTTATTTCCTCCTGATCTTTTGCTTTTAACTCTCAGCTTCTGCTTTCAAGGCTGTGAGGAAACTCAATTCTGATTTTGAGTCCTGCCAGAGATTTCCTTCTGAGATTTTTAGGTAAACCACTTAGGATCTGGCCAGCTGAGGGAATCAGTGGGTGATAAACTCTTGCCTAAAGTTGTAGAGGATTAGCCACACAGCACAGCGCCCTGTGAGTCTGCTCCTCTCCTCTGAGGGGATTTGCCATAGAGAACAACTTGCTGCTGGTTAAGAAGTTGCTGCATGTCAGCTGATCCACGGAAACTGTCTGTCCATGGCAAATGTGAGATAATTTAAAGGAGTTTAATCCTTTTTCTTTGCCAGTCCACATGATGAGTTCGTGCAGGGCGGTTAGTACATAGTAAATGCACACCGTAATTTACTGTGTACTAATTTCCCCAAGCTTTTAATTTCACAGTGTCTCAGTTTCCTCATCTGTAAAAGAGAGATAATAAATACTTTCCTTTCTGGCAGGAGTGCTCGAGATCCTTCAGCAGTAAACATAAAAGCAACCGTTCTAAAATAGTTGCTTACAGAAACTTAATTTTTGGTGTAAGCAGTGATTTGTGTCTGATCTTACACTACAGCAGCATGGAAGCAAATCAAATTTGAGAAGTAAATAACCCTACTAATGTGTAGAATAACTAGGAGCCTGACCACAATAATATTTATATGCAACTACAATAGCAAACATTATTAAAGCTTTCTGTTTCGATCCACCTGTGATTCCTTTTAAAGAGAATGAAACTGAGATGATGTATTTGCAATAAAGATGCACTAAACTGCTTTCTTTAACAAGAAGCAACATGTGTCAGGAAGGCCTAAACCCTGTATTTCTTGGGAAGACCTAAACTTCTTTTTTTTGACCAAGTGATACATGATCAGACCCAGAAAACAGTGTGGTTTTTATTTCAGATTTTTCTAGACTAATAGCCCAAGGGTATGTGCTATAAACTGAAGGAGTTGGAGGAGACCCATTTTTAAGAGGAACATGGTTAGGTTTCTGTTTCTGATTGGAATGTTTGTTTTAAACTTTTCTTCTAAGGGAGCGCTTCCAAACTAGTCACAGTTTCAGTGATGGCTATATTTACATTGTAATCCCAGGTCTTGAGAACTGTCTTATTTTTCTTGTACAGCTGAGACACCAAGAAAGGAAAATTTGCCTTCAAAAATCATGCTCCATTCCAGAATTACGAGTATGGTACTCAAACCTAAAGACTGTTGAGGGCAGGAAGCAAAAGAGGAATCAGGAACTTTTTTCATTACCATCCATATACTGGATATTCCGATTAACACATGAAAAGGAAACACGGAAACACTTGAAACTTGGGTATATGGATATAAGATTGTTCCCCCCCCCCCCCTCCCCTAGCTGCTGAAGCCAACTTTTAGATCTGTTCCTGCTCCACTTGCAAAGTAGTTGTTAAAATTGAAAAGCTTTCAATTTCTTCCCCCCTTTTTTTTTTTCAATTCTTCAGGTATTTCTAAGTGATGTTTCACATAGGCAAAGAACAGCTAATTTCAATCATCGGTTGCCTCCTGGAGAGTGCTACGCCGCGGTGCAAGTCAGCTTCGCTCTGTATCGTGATGCTTAACTGCCCTCCACTGGATACGAGACGAAACGGCAGGATTTCTTTTCCACTATAAAAATCACGGCAAAATAAAAGAAAGTAGGAACTTGGGGTGTATTTTGTTTATTAACTGTTTTCTTGCATCTCCCCAACAGAGACTCCCCGGGGTTAGAGGACTGGAGTTAACAGTTCTGAGAAAATACAACTGCCAAAAAAATAAGTTTCACTGTGTCTTCTTGGCCAAGTGACCATAATAATGACTATCCTCTAGCCACAGTCTTTAAATCCAGCAATTCTTAATAGCAACATGAAAAGAAAGGAAGAGAGAAAGATGAGAAGAAAAACTATGTTTTGGGATAAGTACCATGATTTAATACAGTTAGGATCCTTGGAGTATGGGCTTTTACACTAGAAAGCACACAGGAATCTCCTTTAATGTGCTTATACAAAGGCTCATTTCTCAAAAGCCCAGTGATTTAAGGAAAAATGATTTTAAGAAGTCTAGAGTGTTGAGTGCAATAGCCCTAGCAGCAGCAGAAAACAGGCTGGCTCCAGCCAAAGATCTTGTCCATCTGCCCGACATTTTGATGCCTCAGCTGACTTGAATTAGGAGTGAATAACTTGGAAGATTTTTCCATCCATCCAGCCCCAAGTTAAGAGCGTCCTCTGAAGCAGTGACTTATATTGCTTAAGCCCATGCAGGGAGCTCCCGGTTATGCTCTTGATGGCTTTATTAGAAACGCAGTGGTGGATCTCTGCGATATAAAAACCATCCAGGGGAAGAGCTGCAGCACCTGACCTCTGTTTGCAAGCAACTGAAATCTTCGGGTGCAAAAACAAAGCAGCCGAGAGCGCTTCACCGCTCCTCATACCTGACGTCACCGTGCCCTTTCCCCCCACAAAGACGCATGCCTCCCATGCAACACATGTTGGAGTGAACTTCTGCTCCTCAGAAAATGGGATGACACACTTTCCCATGCAGGCGGGTGAGGATGTTTCCCTCCGATTCCTGCGGCTCGGAGCTGAAGGCTGCCGTGTTCGATAAGGTTTAAGATCTCCAGTGCCTCGAGATTTAGCTTTTCACTTCTGGTGAGGCCCTTGACAGCTGAGATGCGCGGCTCTCTGATTGTCGTTCTCCATCACACTCAGGGAAAGCAGGGCAGGGAAGTTGGGTAGAAATACCTTTCATTGCCTTCCCTTCTGCAGGAGCCTGACTTCTCCTTTCCTAGTTTTCTGCAAACGCTGCAGTCCTTGCATAGACAAAACCCTACCAACTTGGAGGTTTAGTTTGCCTGGCTAAAGACTGCAGGATTTGACCTCTGGAAGCTTGTGCTAAATCCTTGAAGCGCCCATTCTGAGCTTAAGCTTTGGCCTGGAATAACAATGACTGTGAGGGAAGTAATAGGTTATGAGCTGGGTGAAATGATACCTGCTTCTTGCCAGAAAAGCTAACTGTATTCAAGCAACTTCTGTCCTCGTTTTCCTTTAAATAAATATATAAAGATGTTCAAACTTCCCATCGGAGCTGCAGTAATGAAAATCATGTGCACATTAATTTGTACGGGGGTCAGTGAGTCTCCCCAGCTCAACGGTTTTCAAACAGAGTGCGTAGTAAGCCCATAAAACATTTATTTTTCATAATTTATGGAGCATTACATATTGTGAGTCCACAGTGCCAGCTGACGTAATATGCGATAAATTTGAAATAACAAAACATTTCTCATGTATTTTCCTCCTGATGTGACAATGTGGGACATAAATTCAGAAGAAAGTTGCCTTAGAAGACAAAAGCAAGGCAAAAGAAAAGAATGCTCTTAAATCAATAAATGCTTCAATTCCACCAATCATTTAGTGGGCCATTCCCCCACTCATGGCTGGAGCTCTCATCTTTCTGAAGCCTCTTGCTACCCTTTGCTTCAAAGCTGGAATGAGAGGCTGCTAAGGGTGGGTCACTCATGCCCTGCCATGAGCCAAGGGGCTGGCACTGCCTGTGAGAGCCCTGCCTGCTGCCTATCCCTCCTAAGCCAGCCAAGATCTGCATGGAGCAGGCTGCTCACTGTCCTGCACTGAGCAAAACCTACCAAGTAATGACAGGCAGTGGGGCAAAAAAGTCAATACTGTGTACAAGTAATTTTCCTCCTTAACGATTATCATTCCTGCATTCTTAGGAAGGATAGCAGTGACAGTCTTTGCGCTTTTGAAGATAACTTTCTGGTGGTAATTGAGTAGGCATGCAAATATGCAATTGCAGGAGTATAATACAGAACACACAGCATTGCAGAAAAGACTAAAAACTGACCTACATGGCTATGAAAACCAGCTGATAAATCCTCGTATTACAAAGGACACCACCATAGGGGCTGAAGGTTGGGACTTTCAGCATCTGCAAAATTGCCGAGTGACTTCTACCAAGCAGCAAGGACTCGGTGCTCAGTGCTATTTGGTTTCATCTGGCCTTGTTTTTGTTCAGTGCACCAAAGCAACGTCTTCTTCAAGAAAATGCTGCAGTCAAAGGAAGAGAGAAAATGTGGAAGTTATTTGAATGCATGATGCAGAACAGTGTAAAGCAGTTCAGGTTTTTTATCTAGTGTCAGTACTCTGGTTGCCCTGTCATTTATAAATAAACACAGAACTATTTATTGATAGTGGAAAGAGTGCTTTGCAATGGAAGAATGAACTTTCTTTATAATTTCACCTTTTGAAATTTGTGGGGCTTGATTAAAGTTGACACCAGAAGCCCAAATAGGAGGAGAAAAAAATAAATAATCCATATGAAAAATTCCCATCAGGCATGATGTGAAGTTCAGTGTGTTAGAAGTCAGTTTTCCCAGGGAAGACACAGCACATCTACCACAGCCATGCGTGCAGGGAGATCTACTGGCAGAACAGCCGGAGCTGGCCCTTCCCCTTCCTGAGTGCAAGTCTGGCTTTGCACAAAAAAAAAACCCATTGGCTTCAGTGACAGCAGGAGGTTTGGGCTGATCTAGTAAGAAGAATGTATATGGAAAAGGAAGAAAAAGACACTGGCTTGACCCAAGGGAACATCAAGCTGCTACATAGCACACCCCTGGGTAAGGTGTCCAGCTGAGCAACCCTGGCTGCAAAACCACTCCCGGCGTGCAAGGAATTTTGCCTCTGGAGGAAACTTTGAGGCATGCTGAACACATTACGAATCTTCCCCTTTCCAACACTATTCCTGAATCTGTCTCCTGCTGATTTGGCCCTGTGGATGGAGGAAGCAAGCTTCAGGTATAGACCCAGCCCCACCACAAAGCTCTCCAGCATTAGCCTTGGGTACAGCAGTGAGATTTAGCTGTTCTTTCTTCTGTCTCCCCCAGCAGTAGATACCTCAGGCAACCAGACGAAACACTGTCAGAAGTAAAAGGCTTCTTGCTTCCTCTCTGCCCTTTAATAAAACCACAGGAGACAAGACTTATTTAATCCCTACTGCAAAGATACATGCACCAAACTGATTAGATAGAGCAGGAACCAGCCCAACCCTACCATTTGAAACACTGTCTATCCTTCTCAAGACAGGATGAGGATCACAAGCCAGGCAGTCTTACTGTGAAAAGCTACTCAGAAGTGTTTTTCTCATCTCAAATCAAGAGAAATTTCTCAACTCCTTGTAGGAGTCCTGGTTCTATAACTCATAAATGGAAATCAGCGAGTGTCTTTCCCCCACCCATGTCGTCTTCTCCACATACTGTTTTCTGCCCTCAGGGTATCTGTTCTATACTTCCAAAAAATCCATCTGGTTATTTTACTGTAACACACTTACCAGAACTGTAAGATCATAGAAAAAAAACATTTAAAAAGGACCTCCGGAGGTTTCTAGGCCAACCTCCTGCTTCTTGAAGTTGCATTAACATCAACACCAGATCAGATTGCGGATGGTTTTGTGTAGATGATCCTTGAAAGCTACCAAGGAGATAAATCCCACCACTTCCCCAAATGACATGTCCTAATGTTGCACTGCAATCCAGGTGAAGAAGTTTAGTTCTAGTTTTAAACATAAAACATGAAAGTAATCTTGACGGGAAACAGCCATCCTTAGTAGCTAAACATAGTACAGAGGAGGAGGAGGAATGGTCTGGCAGGTGTTTTATATGTTGCTATACTATTATTTAATGACACATGTTGGACATTAAGCCTCAGCCAGGCCAGACATTGCTCCACAGACTAATATTCAGTGCATTCTAATATATAGATCCCCAAAGGCTTCCTTTGTGAGCAGTGCTTTGGCAATTGAATTTCTACTTGAAGACATATAAACGAATTATTATATTTTGAAAGTCAACTCAGATGTTATATGACATAAATGAAACAAATCCCCTCCTAACCTGTCCATTTTGTCAACTAGAGATGCTACTTAAGTTAAAAACAGCAGGCAGAGCTGGGGTAAAATGGGTTAGACCTGCTGTAGAAGAAGCTATCTATCTGCCCTTAGCCATGGCTAACTAGGGTTTGAATAGCCAAGTTGCTGGGAGAACAGAAATGGGACTTAGCAATAATATTCGAATGTCAGTATGTACCTGTATTTCAAAACCATCCACTGGATTTCAGCTTCAGTTCAAACCAACTTTTCCTCCAGCACTCCTCCACAGAAAGGCCACAACTGGGTTAAATCCAAACTTCTAGCAAACCTCCATCAAGCAGTGTGGGAGTAAAAAGGTTTAGAGGGGATAACAGGGCAGGAGAGTTGGTAAGCAAGGGAATGTAGTGATGTTTTGATGGATGAATTGGCAGTGACATACAGTGCTAAGATGGGACTCCTATAAATACCACGGACATGTGCTATCTCTAAGTCCCATTTCAGTATCATCCACCCCAAATACACTCACCCTCCCTTTGATTAGACATGGGGTTTGCAGGCTCTTCCCAAAGGCAGTTGCTGAAATCCAGGCAAGTGAGTCTTTAGAAGTAAAGCACCTCCAAAGTCTTTCACTCATGCGACATTACGAAGATCAGAAAACGATACATAGGAATGTATTCCTTACAGTTCTATACCTCATTTAAAACATTTCAACTGCTTTTATTTTTTCCCAGTCATTACACAACATCTGAAAGATAAAAGAGGGAAATCATTTTGTTACTTTAAATACTTAGCTCAAGCTCTCATTTTGAATACATCAAATACATTCACTGTGCTAAAAAATGCACAAGGGAAAAATTCCCAAGGATATAGCTAAGAGATTGTGAGAGGAAAAAAACAGAAAACAACAGCAGCAGATCATAGAAGAAGAAGTGTCTAAAAAATGAGAAACGACAAAGAAAAAAAAAGCACAGAGCTATAGCATGGTAGAAGAAAAAATAAATATACCACATAATTTATTGCAGGGAGAGTTCTGAAGAAAATGTCTTGTGAAATAAGAGGAAATCATAAGGACAAGAGATCTCATTCATATCCAATCTGTCTTGTGCAAAGAACTAGGCAATAATGTTCAAGTAAGTGACTCACTGCAAGATCTCCCGGTTCGGCTGAAGATTGCTCAATAGAAATAATAACAAGCCACGGAAAAAAAAGACAGTGTAAGTACAGGTGGGAAAGGGATACAAACTCAGAGCAATAAGTACATACAAAATACTGAGATTGCTGTGGAGAGTAAAAGCATGATATGCGTCCTTCTCTATCTTAGAGACTACTTTTCCTTCCGTGCCTCTCTGTGAGAGTTGAAGGGCTGCTAGAGTGCCCAGGATGACAACCTCTCTCTGGCCATGCTTGAGACAGCAGAGATGTACATGAGTTGAATAGAGGGGGACCTATTTATAGATCTGGAATCAGGGCCTTCTCAGTGAAGAACCTTAAGCTCCATAATCTGTTCCTCACAGTGAGCCATGACAGTCCAAGTCCCAAGAAACATCAGGTGCCTTTCAATGCCACCACCAACCTACTGGCAGAGGAGCAGAGGATCTGATGACAAGTGGGTAGTGCAGGACTCTTTCCAGTCCAGGATTACAGGGCTAAAGCAGGAATATCCTTATGACTGCTGGTTTTAGCTGCTACAGATATTTGCATAGCCAGGCTAAAATGCAGTAGGAACACTGTTTTGTCTGTTCTTGCATCCTTTTCTTCCTAGTTGCTGGAGGTAAGGCAGCAAGGAGACAGTGACAGACGTAATGCAAAAACCAGCTATGGGGAGAGGGCAGGGAGCATGTGAGGGATGGGACAGTATTGAGGAAGATGAAGCATCAGCCTGCAGCTGACATTTGCAATGAAACCATCCTCTCCCTTGGCAAAGCAAATATACTGCTGAAGAATGTGTCCCAGCTCTGGCTGCTGGGTGGTCCAGCAGCTCCCAGTTGGAGACTGAGTTGTAAACTTGAAGACTAGGAATTTCTGATAAGCCAAACTGTTTTGAGAGAAAAAGGCTATCGACTCACATTTGGAGAGATGTCCTCTTGTCTACACAGCTCTACATATTTCAATTTAAATTTGGAGTTTCGGCGACTGTGATTTTTTCAGAGTACGGGGTGTGGGTGGGTATTTTTGTACAGGATAATGTATATCTAAAATGATACAGATTGTCGCTAGAGCCAGAAAGATGTTTACAATGTCAGAATTGTGAGGAGAACAAAATATGCATTTTAAATTCTGAGATACAGAGAACACCATCACCACCACCACCACCCGAGTGACCTGACCAAGGTTAGAGCATGAGTCAGTTCACAAAGGCAGGCAGGGAACTTGCTCCTGTGCTCCAGGTCACAACGCCTGTGCCTTGGATTCCACTAGCTGCAAAAACCTCACCAAAAAGGATCCCGGGGAGGGCAAAAAGAAGCAACAAGTGTTCCCTTTTCATGAACAACATTTACTGAAGCAGCTCAAACTGCAACCATGGAAAATTTTACCATGGTCTATGGGTGCAAACAGTATAACGGATGATGAAAAACAGGCAGAGAAAACGCTGCCTGTAGGTGTGCCTGTATCTGCTTTAATTGCTGAGCCGGGCTCCCATGGCCAGCTGAAGGAGTCAGCCTGGGGCTATGCCTTCTTGGTGACACAGGCTGCTCTGGCCAGGGTGAATATAGCAGGGAAATGTGGTGGTGGCTATTAAATGGACACACCAACATCTCTAAAGCACTTGCTAGCAAAGGAATGCATTTACAGCTATGCAACTGCATACATAAACCTATTAAACACTGGATTTTTAAATGCAATGAATAGATTATTTTTAATTTGATACCTAAGATCTCCCATCCCATTCTTCAGCCATTACAAACATTTCCCTGGCAGGGGATATATTGCTGTGCTCTATACACAAACTTTAGCCAGTCTTATTCTTTTTAATTGCAAATATTAGGGCACATACCTTCAGTTGTTGTAACATCTCAGCTGAAGTCAATGGAACTATGAAAGCCTACACAATAATTAAGGAATTACCTCAAGACATTAAACTTATCAGCCTGACTCTTGATATCATGGAATTAGAGAGAGAGAATAAGCGTTTGTGAAATCTTGTTATCAAAGAGGTGTTTCTGATTTCTACTCATACCAAAAATCCCAACACCACCTTACACAAGTGACGTGAACCAAAAAACAGAGCAGAAAAGCGAAAAGAATTAGCATTCATTTTTAACATCCTGATTTTTTTCAGACTGACTTCATGCTTTTAGAGAGCTCTGTGATGACAATACAAACAGTAGCTCATTTCTCAATCAAATTCCACCCACATCAGTGTGTCACACTTGTGCCTGACAAGCAGGAAAGGGGTGGTGATGGGGTGTTATATACCCAGAGGCATGTAGACACACAAAAATACAGGTACTGCAAGCCCCTTCACAAGCTTTCTTGTCTCTGCTCTTGCTCTAGATATAGGGTTGGACCAGCAGAAAATCAGGTTGCCAAGTTCTTGGTACAAATACCACAATATTTCAAAACTTCAGAGGCAAACATACACTTGCATATTTAATTATACTTTCTGATATGTTTCTGAAATAAATCCAGTAACTGGTGATTTGCCTCTTGACAGCAGGTAAACCAAGGCTGACTGACCTGGTCTGCACTCAGTGTGACTTCTGGAACTGAGCTCCAAGTCCCTCTCTCCCCTTGCACAACCAATGCGCTGCTCTTTTCCAGGGCACAATTACCACATCAGTAATGATGAGAAGATTTTATTTGACTGAGGGACTGCTTGAAGTGCCCAGCTTGCAGTTGCATCTCACCTGCAGGAACTTAGTGGCTATATGGACATTTGATTTCACGATTCATTTAAAACGATACGAAACACTGCTTTGAAGCCCCCCCTTTCCTCCTTCACATCTGATGAGTGCACAGGGAGTGGAATTATACTCAGCATGTCACACTCCAGTGGACAGAGATGGTTTGTAAAAGCTGATAAGCCTTGTTAGGGTTTGCAACTTTGTATGAACTTCAGTGATAAATACTGCGTTCATGAAATGCCAAATAGTGCTGGAATGTTGGCGTGAGCACGACAGAGATTGCAGCTAATGTGGGAGCGCGTAGGTACACTGTGCAGTAAATTACAGTCATGATAGGCATCCACTTTCCGTGAAAAATGCAGGGGTTTGAGCCAGGGGTATTTCCTATAGCACAGTACACAGGGATCTAATCGTGCTAACAACTTGGATTTAAATTAGTGAAGTGAGAATGATGTGACGAGGATCCTGCATGACTACAGGGGGAAGCGGTTGTCAATATTTGCTCATGGCTTTTACTCAGCTTTACCTGCTCTGGTTGGGATGTTATGGACACCCCCAGTCAATGGCTAATGACTAGAGAGACTCCTTTTCCCTTGATTTTAACAAAGAGATGACAACCCCAGCCACTAGCAAACTTTCAAATTGTCTTCCTTCCTTTTTTTTTCTAATTGATCAAAAGGAATTTCAGAATGATGTCCTGTACACAGATGAAAGCAAAGTTTGATGTTCTGAAGTGCTAAACTTCTCTGCTTTGACCCGCACGATTAAGATGAAGGAGAATTTTGTCTTTAGTAATTAACATGACAAATAACTGTGAATGGGAACTTGCTGTTCTGAATGACAGCGTTGTCTTCTGCTTCAGGGTGAGAAACCCGGGGCCAGGATCCTGGGGATCCATCCCTTGCTTCAGAATGACTTTTAACAGGTTTGAAAATCTCTGTCTCTCACCTCATGGAGACAAGAAGGGAGGCTGGTCTCCTGCAAGAGCACAGCACCTTCGAATGCATGCTTGCTACATCCTGTAAGATACTGGGGGGGGGGGGGGAGAGGATAGAGTGGATTGCCCAGAAAAAGAATAATCACCGGTGGCTAGATTAAAGGTATTTCATGAACACTGCCTTTCATACTGACAGTTCTTCTATAATCATTCCCAGCATACTACTTTACCTCTGTCAGTATTCATCTGTTGCCAATTGCCTTGGAGTTACTTTGTGAGCGTGTTAGTTGGGGACTCTTCTTTTGTTCTTTGTTTTTACAGCCCTAAAACACAAGGGATCCTATAACTGCGATCCTGAATGCTTTGAGGCACCTAATAAATAATTGTTAGCATTCCAATATCAAAACTATGCTTTGCGGTATTGGGAAGTAGCAAGAAGATTGGCATAGCAAGAAGATAACTGGTATTAGCTAATTGCTAGAGTAGTTTTCACGTAATGGAGCATGGAGGTTTTGCTTTGTTTTCTTGTGGGTTGAGTTTTGTTGTTGTTGTTTTTGTTACAGAGTGGAAATGCATTGCATTTAATCACCAGCTTCATAGTATATGGCTCCAGCAGAGAGTCCTAAAGCTCACCAAGCCATAGAAATAGGCTGAATCGGGTTAGCTGTAATAACAGTTCATAGGGGGACTTGTACTGCTGTCTATGCCACATCCATTCTGTGCAAGGCATTTCTATCTTCAGACATATCATTTTGGCTCTTCTCACCAGATTTGCATTATCTACAGGAGATACTCCTCAGCAATGCCCGCCTTATTCTTCTTCGCTTTCTGCTGGCTAGTGCCTGGTGGAAAGCTAACAGCTTCTGAAATCCTGCCCCGAGCTGCTGGTAGCAGCAGTATCCGTGTAGCTGTGCAGGATGAGAGCAGGATCCTCCTTGCCCTTCCCCAATTAAAACTTCATCACCAGTTCCAAGATAACAATGCAACAGAGAAAACACTGGAAGCTGTTCTCACTGGTAACCGACATGACCTTGGAACTCAAAAACCCCAGTGCCCTGTTCTTCTCCCACTATTCCCCTATAGCCTCACCCACAGCGCCCATCAAACGATCAGTCACAAACCCCATCTGTCAACACAGGGTCTGCAGTTCATGGAATCTGCCTGACAGTGGTGTTCTATTACTGAGACTGTAAACAGAGGTACTTTGAATGACTTGTCGTCTCTTACAAATTACACAGGCAGAATGAAGGCTACGGGACTGAGTGACATAATTGTAAGACAAAAATTACAAAGGCTCTTCTTTCACTTACCCTGACAGTCTTAGAACTAAGTTAGACTTTCACACACAGTGCCAGGGCCAATCAAAGCTGCCTTGTAAAGGGTTTCTTTCTTGTTATTTGCTAGGCATCCTTGATGCTAAGCAAATTTACATCAGGGTTACTTTATGCATCGCAGTCCTGAATACTGTGATGTCCAAGTATTCTCCCTCTAATGTTAAGTTACCGATCTTGAAACTTAGTGTGAAACCTGACAAAATATAAACTCTTAACATTATACTTTGTGTTTACATCTTCTCACCTGCATGTCTTCCACACTTTTCTTCATCTTACCCTTGAGGCTCACGTGTCTGATGATCATGGAGAAAATCTCTACTCCCACCTTCAGTTTAGCCAGTCACATCCTCTTGAAGTAGCTCTTCTGTATCTCAGTTCTGTCCCTGGGAAGCAAAGGTCACGGTTAGACTAAGTGTCCAGATGTCAGAACAAAGGGACCACATTTGTTTAATGGAGTATGGAGTCCAGAGAGATATCTGGAATCTAGTGATACTTCCAGTGGGCCACATATTCCATGTATTTGTCATGTTACCTATCTAAACAACATACAGTCTAACTAGATGCCACTGTGACAGGTGGCTGATAGCTGTGTGTAATAATAAAAGAAAGCAGAACACAGTAATGTTAACAAGAAATTACATTGGCTTCGGAGGTGTTTTTTGTGCCCCCATGTGTAATGCCAAACAACTTTTTTGCTTACATGAAAAAGATATGAGACTTTAGTAAAGCAGAAGTCAGCACCACCAAGGGCTTAATTATATAATGAAACATTCTTGAAGCCCTCACATTAGCTCACTGATGCTTACTGGAAAAGGCATTACCTAGCAACAGCCACTAACAAATCACAGGAAAAAGAATAGAGATTATATGCTACATCACTCTACAGAGTCAAAATTGGTAGCAGGATGTGCTTGCCCTTCCATTTCATGTGCAGAAATCCACTGTTTGCAGGTGTGAGGGTGTAAGGGATGCACTTTTAATGAAGGGCCCATTGACCCTTCATTAAAAAGTAGTCTTTAGAAGAAACCCAAAGACTGTGAGAAGCATCAATCTGGCCAGAGATAGCAGACTATAGTGCAGGCATGAGAAAAAGAAATGACAATGACCATATTTTTATTTTTATTTTGTTTTTGTTTTTGACTCCTCAGAGAAATTGCTCTTCAATACGTCATGAGATGAGTCCATTTTTTAAGAATTTGGGAAACTCAAGCCAGAATTCCCAAACACCAACGTCCTGCATGTGACTCAACAAGTCAGCACCATCCTGAGCACCAAGCTTTGGGGGATGCTGCCTCTGTGTTTAGTTTCCATCCTAGTTCTGTGCATTACAGTGGCAAAAACTCTTAGAAACTGCAGTAGAAAGGGCCACATCAGTATATAAGAGAGAGAGTTATTAGAACCAACTCCATATTGCAAATGCAGCTAGCAAAGAGAGAGCTGGGTTTTATTCCGAATTATGCTTTGTTAACAAGTTGTTAACTAAGTTCTCACTCCAGAATATTTAGAGCCAGCTAAATAATATGTGTCAAATCATTGATCTGACAAGTTTCACAACTTTTTTTTTTTTCCACTTTAAATTTCAAATATCTATTCAAAAAATAGCATGTTCAGTTTCTTCGCTCAGTTTTAATTACTGGCGACAGCAGGGGAGGGAGAAAGAACAAAGCTGAATGCACAGATCCCAGAGGGAGTTTGCCATCTCTGACCATTAGGGGAAAAGACAAAAAACCAGCATCTTCTCACTTGGAAACTGAGCCCATTTATCATGGAGGTCCTGGGAAGAGAGGAAATGTGGAGTCCTCCCAGTGAAGGAATCCTTTGCTGATGCTTTGCTGTCACACCTGTAGCTGGCTGTTGAGTCAGTAAACCTGTGAATTATCGGACTGAGGCAGAAGTTCTGCAAGGGTGCAAAGTTTGTTGGGTTGGGCATAATATGGCTGATACTGGGGACAAAGGGAAAAGTTTCAGCATGGAGCTCTGCTCTTTGTACAGAAAACTGTTCAGGGACAGGTGATTTAAATGTACAGGATTGTGATTTTATAGAATGAGACTTAGGCTTTTGTGTGTGTGTATCTATACAGACACATATGCACACATCTATCAAGATTTGTTTTAAACAGTAATGAAAGTGCTTCTGGTTTCCCTGTGCAATACTCAAGCAGGTGGCTGTAGCTCTGAGCTGCAGTTCAGAGCAGGCACGTGTGAAGAGATTCCCCATCTTCCCCATCTCCCCTCATCTCACATCAGCCCCAGACTCTGATGATGTTGTTAAAAGCCACATCCATGAGACTGCACTCAAGATTATGCTCTTGGAGTCCTCCCGTATCACAGAGGGTGAAGCAGGATTTCTGTATGGAGCTGGGAAATAAAGGCATATTTTCTACGTGAAATGCCTTCATCTAGCTTGCTTAATAAGCTGAAAACCCCAAGGTAGGCATAGCCCTTTATAAGGTCCAGTTATACTGAAGTTTAGGTAAGGCCATAACTTAATATTTGTAAAGACTTGTGCTGTGTGACAAGCTTCTCTCCCTCTCTCAGAGATCTCAGAGCAAGCAGGGCTGCTGTGAATACGATGCTGCTCAATGCACGTTCAAGTAGCACAACTGGATTCCTACCAGCTCCCTAGTAATTATCAGGTATACACGAAAGAGCCAATCAAGCACCCAAAAGGACAGGCTGCCCTCTGCTCCCCCCCGGTGCAGCTGGCTCCTTATTTCAAGCACCATCTTAAATTACAAGGAAAAAGGATTTGCTGCAGAAGCAATGTTGTTTGCCATCAAAAAAGATTCCTCCTTCCTTCTGCCACCTCCCCCCATCTGCTTTTCATGTTTTATACAAAACTTGCTGCGCTGAACACTCCTGGATTTTCTCCCCTTCTAATAATAAAGATGCGAATCTGATGTCTCCCTCTGATGGCTTTCTAACCTTCAAAAGCATGTGTTTATCATGAGTTTCAGCTATCCAAAATAGTTTTGACCTGAGGTTACAATGCAGGCTCAGACCGCTTCGAAGCGGGTTAAATGGATGATAAGCAAACATTTCATTACAGACCCCCAGTTGTAGTAAGGATGTGTAAATCCCCCAGAAAGATTTTCAGCATATCCTCCAGAGCAGCGTGGTGCTTTGGACCTGGGAGGTTCACTCAATCAGAGCCCTGCTGTCACTGTGCAACTATCTCCTCTGACTGTACCCTTTGCGAGGCCCTGGGCAAGCAGCAGGACTGGGGAGAGATTCTTCCCACCGGATGCGCTGTGAGGGCTGAGATTTCTAAGTCTTAATTGAAAACACTCACCTTTTTGCTGCCCTGCCCCTTCTCTGGTTTCTGCTTGAGTGGAAGAGTGTGGAGAGATGCTGATGCAGAGCTGGTTGCCCCTAGGGGAGATCAGTCCTCCTCCCAGCCCCAGCCTGCTGCATCACTAGTGGCTTGGAGCCACATCCACCCCACAGTCAGCAGTTTCAAACCTTCTACCAGCTAAACCCCAAAATTGTTTTGAGCAGCACCATGCCAAGTCCACTGATTTATTGCTGGGCCACTTCTGTCTCAAGTGTAAATGGTCCAGTGTGGACTACCACACAGCCTTGCCCCACTCAGGTGGGGGGCAGATAGGTACCATTGTGAAAGTAATGCTCATTTTGCATCTTCCTTACAATAAAAAGACAAAGAGGTGACAATACTAGTGGCTAAGCAGCACCCCATGCCAGCTAGGCACATACATAAAACATCAGGTACTTTGTCCTAGCTCTGTGTCTTCTTCCTAATTTAACCCAAACAACAGCAGCACTTTATGGACCAGCACTCACATTAATCCTGAGCAGGATGCCCAGACCCAGCTGTCCAGCCAAGGACCATGCCCCATTTTCTTCATTTCTTCTCTTCTACACCCACAGAGCATAAATGTTCTCAGGGTAAGGGCCTGAGCTAATTGATGGTAGGGAAAGATGAAGCCTATGATTTTGTGGTGTAAGTCTGAGATGGGCACTGCCTATGACTCTGATTCCAACAGTGCAGGGGATGGATGAGTATAGAACACCATGTGCTCAGTCCATGTGCTCAATGGGACATCCAACAGCTGCATCCCATCTCCAGTCAAGTCAGGAGGTAGGTGCTGGCCCAATGCAGCATCAAGGTTGGCTTGGTGTTCAGACAGACA